TTGGATTGTGGTTCTCAAGCCCGGAATTCATAATCCCTGAGGATAAACACGACCGTGGGCGCCAGGAGCCACGGGCCAGAACAGGCTAAGAAAAGAAGTTGAACTGTGCTCCTGGCGGGACAAGGGGAGGGGCCGCAGCCATACAGACCCCCCCCCCCCAAACAGCTGATGCCTCGGAGCACACGCCCACACCTGGGGCCTCACAGACCCTGCACCCAACTGCCTAAGCGTCAAAGTTGACTTCGCCCTGTCGCGGGAAGGGCTGTCTCTACAGCCAGTACTAACCCCCTGCGTCTAACAGGGGCTGGTGTTGCCAACTATCCCCAGCGGAGTGAGCCCATCCGGCTCCCCTCAGGCGGCAGCATAGCTTGCTGCGTAATCTTAACAAACCGGCCCCAAGGAAACAGCTGACTTGCTTCTTAATCAGCTCTAGGGAAGCAGCTCTGGACTCAGGCCTCGACTTGAGCGCATGGGGTCTTGTTCCTAGTTGAGGCAGAGTTGGCCGTGGCTCAGGCATGTTTGCATCATGCAGGCACAACACAAACCAAGAATTACTTCACATTCCAGCCCATGCACTCGGACCCAGGAGTACCCCACGGCCACGCCAGTGAGGCAGAGGATCAGCTAAAGATCATAGGCAGCACGAGAGGCTGTGCAGCCCCCACTTTGGGGGTGATGGCTACCTACCATAGGACCTGTCAGGACCAGAAGGCTGAGCCCTGGGGGCCCTACAGTGCCTCCCCGCCAGCCCTCTCCCCTCACATGGCTGAACAGGGGAGCTGCCAGCTAACCAGCGTCCCCCAACAATGGCAGCGAAGGGTCACAAGCCCCCATGCAGAAAAAAACCTACTTTTCTGTGCTTTGGCAAAGGAGCCCCGGCTCACGCATTAAAGCAAGCGAGAGAGATGTTCAACAGTAGAGGGGGTTTGGAAGATGTCAGTGATGCCCGCAGAGGCAGCACAGAGGTCTGGATGGAAGCATCAGCAGAGGCTGGGACAGATTTATGGAATGTTCCAGCACTCCCGGAGAGCCTCAGTCTGGAAGTTTAGTTCTGTGGGACGGGGTTTGAGCACAGTATTTGGAGACCCAGAGTTTGTGGCTTGGCTGCCTGTTCCCCTGGCACCCCGTGGGGCTATGGGTCACATTGATGCTTGAGGGGTCCCCTAGCCAGGTGTATCCTGAACCCTCCGTCTCTGGGCTGAGGAGGCTGACCACGCCGTGTTGGCAGGTGCTTCTTGTAATAACTAAAGCACACCTAGAAAGCTCTTGTCTTGGGCATCCACGAGTTTTTCTCTCCTGCCCCCAAACCTTAGTAGTTTCTAGCGGCTTTAGCTGGGCTGAGTCCTGTGCACCAGCCAGGTGGGCCCCAGCCACGCGTGTTCTCTCAGGCTGTGTCCTTGGGCAGCTGGAGGGGGTGGTGGGGCAGTGAAGCGAGGCAGTAGCTGATCCTCTCCAATCCCATTTGTTTTCAGTTGAGCAGCCAAGGGCCGGCCCCAAGAAACAAGCCCACGCTCAGAGCTGGAGTTAAGGACTCACACCTGAGCGCAGTTGTCCACTAGGTGTTGACATGGAGGACAGCAGTGATTTCTCGGGAGAAGTCCCAACCCCCAACAATTCTAGCACAGCCTGGGAGAGCGCCACCCCAGGTTTAAGGTCAGGAAGGTAGCTATAGGCTAGTTTTGCCCCATAAAAACAGGGTTCAGGGCCCCTTGAACCCCCCCACAGTGCCTTCCCGCCAGGCCTCCTCTCCCCTCACATGGCTGAACAGGCGTGTACCCACAGCTGCCTGCTTTTGCTCGGGTTTAGAGTTGCCTCAAGCAGCATGCCCAGACAAGCAACTGCAGCCAGGTGAGGCTCCTGCTGTTCATCAGCAGCCCCCTCACCCCTTCGTGCCTCTGATCCCCAATCCCACCCTCTGTAGGGTAAGCTGGGGGGGGGGATCAGGAAGGCCCCCAGACAGGTGCAGAGCAAGTGACAGAACCCCAGCACAAGAGCCCAGAGGGAGCACTCGAGGCAGGCAGGTCCCTGTGCCTCAGTCTCGTAGGTCCAGGAGGAAGCTGGTTTCTAGTAGGAAGGGGGTTGATGGGGTTTTTGAGGTTTCCTCTGGCTGCCATCGAGTGCCAAGCTGGGGGGATCAGGAAGGCCCCCCAAACAGGTGCAGAGTAACAGAACCAGAAGGGCCTGGGGGCATCCCCAGCACAAGGGCCCAGAGAGCACTCAAGAGGCAGGCAGGTGCCTCAGGGTCTCCTAGGTCTGGGAGGAAGCTGGTTTGTAGTAGGAAGGGGGTTGATGGGGTTTTTGAGGTTTCCTCTGGCTGCCACCGAGGGCCTGAGTGGACACGGAGGTGGTTGACGCAGCCCGGCTAAGGAAGCAGCTTGTGGCAGAGCCTGTTCTGAAGTGAGGCGTTCAAAGACTTGAAAGGCCGGGTGTGGGAGCAGGGAGGCTGCTGGTCAGGGCAGCTACCGGGCTTAGGGGTGTAGATCCCTGCAAGGATATCCAGCCCTGAGGATACCCTTTCTCACGCATGGGGGGCGGGGCGGGGGAAGAACAGGCGAGGTGTTTGGTTTCAGGCAGGTTTTGGTTTAATGGGGTGAGGTGCCTTGAGACGTTCCCACAGATGCAGAGTTGGTTTCAGAAGTGAGGGAGTCAGGTGAGTCTGGACCTAGATTCTGGGACTGCTGGGGACTGTTCCTATACTCTAAGGGCGTGTGTACCCTGAAAGGCCTGGGTAGGGAGAAGCCAGAGGCACATTCTAGAAGCACAGCTCACATTTCGTGTTACCGAGCCCTTACATGTAAAAGCCACTGAAAGACCCAGGAGTAAATCCCCACTGTCCCTTCTACCCTCCCTCGTCTCCAGGAGCAGCGACTTTAGCAAGGCAGCATCTGTCGGCACCCAAGCTTCAAGCCCCCAGACCAACAAGCAGTTCCCTCAAGCAGAAAATAAGTCAAGGTGCCTAGCACCCTGCCAGGGGGTGGGGTGCAGGGTTTGCTTTATGGTCCCTTTTTATTAGGGGCGTAAACCCAACAAGGCTTTACAGGCAGTTAGCAGCTTCCGAGTGCTTGAAAGTGCCTTAGTTCTACTCAAGCCACGGTCTTTCCATTACACGAACGCCCTAGGGGTGAACCCTGAATTGCCACACCTGCCCTTAATTCCAGCCCCATTAAGGGCTTATGATTAAACGCTGGTTCCTCGGAGCCAGTTACAGCCCCCACGTGAGTACTGCACTCTGGCCTCATCTCAGTCCTGCACAGCACGTTTCTAGACCCACTGGGTCACCAGACCCACTTCACCCAGTGGTTCCTTGATTGAGGGGAGCATATGGGGTGCGGGGCCGTCCATTTGAGTATCATCTACCAGGGATGGTTTCTAAGGGAAGTGAGAAGCTGAGGAGGGGGTGTTAGCAAAGGTTTTGCAGAGGTTGGTAGTTTAAATGGCAGGAGTAGTTGACTCAGTAAGGGACACCTGAGCGCAGGACGGAGTTAATTTCTCGTGCATGTCAGAGGCCCTGGGCGGCGGGAAAGGCAGCAGAGACACTCGATTTTAGGGCCCAGCGGGACCCTTTTAGGACTTTAGCTTCTACTCAGACTGGTGGTTAATTTTTAAGGTAAGAATTTAGCTAGAGTCTTCAGGCTGCAGAGGCTTGGAAGACAGGTCTGGGGGAGACGCCAGGGAGGTAGGGCAAGCCAGACCCAACTGGAAACGCCAGCAACAACCCAGGTCAGCCCTGGGGAGCCAACTCTGCAGAAGTGACAGGCAAGAGGATTCCCCCACCCGGTCTTGAAAGCCAACAGGGGGAGGTTAGAGAGGAAAAGCCGGGGCTCACTGCACTTGGGCCTCAGGCAAGAGGGGGCCCCCACACCCCATTTTGAAAGTGAATGGGGGGAGGTTAGAGGGGAAAAGCCGGGGCTCACTGCACTTGGGCCTCAGGCAAGAGAGAAGCTCCCACACCCCATTTTGAAAGTGAATGAGGGGGAGATTAGAGAGAAAAAGCCAGGGCTCACTGCACTTGGGCCTCAGGCAAGAGGGGACCCCCACACCCCATTTTGAAAGTGAATGGGGGGAGGTTAGAGAAAAGCCGGGGCTCACTACACTTGGGCCTCAGGCAAGAGAGAAGCCCCCACACCCCGTTTTGAAAGAATAGGGAGAGATGAGAGGAAAAGCCGGGGTTCACTGCACTTGGGCTTCGGGCAGGAGGCGCCCCCACCCCGATCTTGACAGCCCACAGGGAGCGCTCAGCGAGAAAGCCCGCCAGGCCCGCCGCCCCGGCTCCCGGCCCCTCAGGCACCCACGGGCGCTCCACGGCCGCCCCGGAGCAGCAGCTCGGCGGCCTGACCAGGGAGGCCCCCGCCCAAGCTCCCTTCCTTTCCCGCTCTAGAAGAACAGTTTCCCCACAGCCTACACCCCGCCCTTGCTCGTCTTCGCTTTTTGAGAGAAATTCTGAGAGAGGTTTCGGCTCCCGCCAAGGCCCCGTCCCCAAAGCCCCGCTGACAGCAGCTGCCCCGGAGAGGCCGGCTCCCCCCGCGTCGGGCTTGAAAAATGAGAAAGCAACAGCCGGGGTGGGGGGGGGGGCACTTGGCGGTCCCGGCCCGCACCCCTCCCCTCCCCCAACCCAAGCTCCGCGCCCAGCAGCCCCGTCCCTCTTCCGCCCCTCACGTGCCCACCCGCCCCACGCGCCCCCCGGGAAGCTCTGACGCCCCGCGCGGCCGGCGCCGCCTTTTCAAGGGCCCGCGCGCGGCGTCACTTCCGGGGCGGGGCGCGAGGGGCGCGCGGGGCGGGGCCCGGGCCGCCGCCGCCGAGCCGAGCGCTTGACTATATATGGTCAAAGCTGGGGGCGAGCCGCGCGCGGGGCCGCGCTTCCGGGTTCGGCGGCGCGCAGGGCAGGGCGCGAGCGGCTCGAGCCGCGGCCTGGACCGCCCCCCGGCACGCCCGGCGCCGCCTCCCGCCCGCGCGACCGACCGCTCGGCCTGGCCTCGGCGACGTGCGCTTCGCTTCGCGGCGCGGGCGGCCCGGAGTCTCGGCAGGCGGCGCGGCGCGGGCGCGAGGGGCGAGGATGCCGTACGAGATCAGTAAGTGCCGCCCGGCCCGCCCGGCCCGGCCCGGCCCGCCCGGCCCCGGGGGGCGCCCCGCGGTGGGGGGCGGGCGGGCGGGCGGGGCGCGGGCGCCGGCGGGGTCCCCGGGCGGGGGGGACGGCCGCGAGCTCCCGCCGCCCTCGGGGCGCCCGGCGGCCCCCCCGGCCCGGAGGGCCCCAAAGTTGGCACCGCGGGCCGGGCCCGGCGAGCCCCGCGCCCCGGATGGGCCGGGCCGGGCGCGCGGACCAGGAAGTCGCCCGCGGGCGCCCCGCGCCCCCCCCGGCGCCCCCCGCGCCCCTCCCGGCCGGCCCCCCGCGGGCGCGGGCAACAGGTGACCCGCCGGCGCGGCCCCCGCGCGGCCCCTGAGCGCGCCCGTGTCTCCGCAGAGCGGGTGTTCGCCAGCCTCCCCCAGGTGGAGCGGGGCGCCTCCAAGATCGTCGGCGGCGACCCCAAGGGCAACAATTTTCTCTACACCAATGGCAAGTGCGTCATCCTGAGGAACATCGACGTGAGTACCCCGCCCCGCCCCGGCCCCCGGTCCCGGGCGCCCCCAGACCGGCGGCGCTTCCTCCGCACCCCGCTCGCCACGCCCCCCCGCCGGCCCCCCGCGGGGCGCAGGAAGCGCCTGCCAGTTGGTCGCGCCGTCTCGGGGAGCCCGAGGCGGGTCCTGAGAACCAGGGCTCGGGCGCGAGGGCTGCGGCGGGCCCGGTTACCTGCGGCTTGACCTTGGGGTGCTGGAGGGCTCCCCGCTGTGCTGTGAGCCCCCCGCATTTCCTCCTCTGCCGCCTGGGCCCCCCGGCCCCCGCGCTCTCCAGCCCGCAGCCCAGGTCAGCATGCGGGATCCCCGGCCAGCAGAGCCCGGGCTGACCCGGGCCCCTGGCCCCCAGCCTGCTCGTCCCCTCGGGGATTCGATCCCCAGTGCAAGATCAGGAACCGGTTTATTCCCATGAATCACGCGGGCGGGCCCCCTGCGCTGGGCTGAGAAGGCTGCGGGGGCCAACTTGTTGGGAAACCCTCACAGAGCCGCTTTACTCCCCCGTGATGAGCCACGGGCCAGGCCCCTGTCACCCTCACTTCGGGGATGCACCCAGGAATCCTGCCTTCCTCAGCCTGGGGGTGGCGGGGAGGGAAGGTGACCTGCAGCGGGCGGCTGGGAGGGCTTCTCCTAAGCTGCGCCAGGCTGTGCCTGGTACCCAGGGTGGAGGTGGTTTTGATTGGCCGCGCTGCCAAGGGCTGTCAGCTTAGATGCACATGTGAGGAGTGGTCACCCGCCATGGGTAGGGTTGCTGCTGCACGGATGCCCTCGGCCTGCAGGAGGCTCACAGTTGGCAGGGGAAGGGAGGGGGCTCTGGGGGCCTCTCCCCCCCATCATAACAGGAGAGAGGCCTTTGCGTGGTAGGGGTTGGCTCTGCCTCCATCTCCGGCTCAGCCAGCCGGTTGCTTTTGCTCTGCACGCCTTGGTGGCTTCTCCCCTCCCATGATAGCCGGGCACCTCCGATGCTGGGGTGGGTGCGATTGTGCTTTGAAGGTGCTAACAGCCGCTCTAATAGTCACACGGATCCCTGGAAAGCTGGACTGGCCTAGAGTCCACCCCCGAGGGTGTGGGGGGAGGGCCAGGATCCAGATGCCTGGGGATCTCCAGAATAAGGTCCTGAGATTTTTTGAGAAGATAAGAGTTGAGGTGGCTCTAAGCAGATTCTCACTCAGTTTGGCAAACCGAATGCCCCACAGTCCTCTTGGGGAACCAGGGCCGCAGCATGTCCAGGCTGGCCCTGTCGAGGCACGTGCGTGGCAAGGCAGCCTGCACCCCCCCGGGGAGGGGGCTCACAGAGTGCCTGCTGTGGGTCCCACGCTGTGAAAGATTCTTGAACTGCAGCGTCTTCCACCCTCCCTTGGGCCCCAAGAGGCAAAGGAGACCAGCAACGAGCTGCCTCCAGTGGAGAAGCTGATGAACGCCACGGGCGAGCACCCCACACGGGCCACATTCCCTGACCATGAAGTCCATCTGCTCCTTGCTTCTGGGCTCCCTGGTTTCAGTGCCCCAGAACTTACTGTTCTCATCAGAGGGCACACCTGCTTTCCCGCCCCGCCTCAGCAGGGAGAGCTTTCCTGATCTGGGTGTAAACAGGCATTAGGCCCCTGTTTGCTTGGTGGGCCCTTGGCAGTCAGGTAAAGATGAGTCAGACTTGACCTGTCTGAGTCCAGACTCTGCTGGGGGCAGAGTGAGACCGGAAGCCGCTGGATACTCCGGACGGGAAGGAGGAAGCAGTAGTGAGAGCACAGGCCTGTGGTAGGGAAGAGACGGGAGGCCGGGCCACTTCCTGCAATGACCCGAGGATGTCAGCTGGGTTGGCATCTCACACCCAGCACGCCCCAACATTTGGGCTTCCAGGGCATGCTTCCCCCAGATGGCAGTGCCCACCCTCCAGCTGTTCCAGCCCCCAACCTGGGACTTCCAGTGGCTTCCCCCTCCCTCTCTCTTCCTGCTATATTTAATTCTCAGCCAATCCAGTGACTGCAGTCAAAGTTTCTTCAGAGTCTGGCATTTTCCTGACTTCCTCTGCTCCCACCACCATCCAAGCGGCCATCGTCTCTTGCCTGAAGTGTAAGAAAAGTGGGCTCAGTTACCGCCTGGACGTTGGTCTCCCCGCTTCCTCCGTGACTGTTCTCCAGCCTGCTCTGTCCGCACGGCACTGGCTTCAGGGAGCTCCACCCCGCCTTCAGCCAGCACCCTGCTGCCCCCCTGGGCGCCCCGCCTTGCTGCTACTCCAGTCTCCTCATGTCCTCCCTGTCACTCAGCTTCTCCGCTCTTCTTGGAACTTGTGTGACTGGCTCTCTGGAGTTGCCAGGGCCTCTGTCTGGACACTTTATTCTTGCCAGTCGTGGCACACCTTGGCCCCATCTTCCTTTGGGTTTCTGTTTAGATATCACCCTGTCGGGGGGGGGGTCTCCTGAACAGCACCCCATCCCAGCCTTCTGCACTCAAGTAGTGCCCCAATACTTGTGGAGCAAACCAGCCAGCCTCTGGCCCCACAGCCTGCACACGGGGCTGTCTCCTGTCCCCCGGCACCATCATGCGGAAGGCAGGGCCCTTGCTGACTCCCCTTGGAGCCACGGCTTCACTCCCTCTCTCGACGGAAAAGCTGGGCTCAGCGGCAGGGCTCCTCTCGGCTGGTAGGATGGTGTTATCTGTTCGTTTCAACACCACCTGTTGCCACACCTTGAAGAGAGAACTGCAGTTAAAGGCCTGCGGGGAATGTGGCTGTCCAGACCCGCCCTCAGAGAGAGCCTGGGAGACTGTGGCCACCCCACCCCCCACCCCCTGCAGACAGGGCAGGGTCACTCCCAGTGCTGGGACAGACCCGCTTCCCTGCCAGCGGCTAAGCAGTGAGTGCATCACAGGGGCAGGCTTAGGGCTGGCTTTGCATAGTGTTCACCCCAATCCCAGAACTAAAATCTACATACCTGAGAAAGCGGCAGCTGTGAGGGGCTGATGTGCTGCCGGGAGTGGCATGCCAGGGGCAGCTTGGCATCCTGTGCTTGTGAGCATGGCGACAGTGGGCTCCCGGCACGGGCTGGGCTGGGATGTGGCGCTTGAGTGCAGAGTCTCACCTGCAGTGACTCGTCCATGCAGAAAGGCCACCTGTGTGTCCAGGACAGCCCCCAGCCCTGTGGGGTCATGTTCGGGTACCAACTGACAGAGCAGCTGTCCACACAGGTGTGAAGCCAGGAGAGGATTGGATGGGCCCTACAGGCTGAGCTCCCTTGAGGAAGGAAACTGAGACTCGAACCACATGGGGCCTGAGCACATGGGGACACGTGGGCATTTTGGTTGCGATGTGTCTGTGTCCCATTGCCAGTCACAGAAATCCTAGCTGGCTCAGCACAGGCATCTCTATGTCTCTACACATGCACACACACCCTGCCCTCCTGGCTTGTTAATCTTGTTACCAGAACTTCTCAAGCATCCACTTAATAGCAAAGCCTGTGCCAGCTCTGGACACACTCGTTCCAGGGCCTTTCCTAGGGGAGCCCCCAGTCTGGCAGGGAAGAGGGACACAGAGTCTTCAGGCCCAACCCCAGAGGGAGCAGAGTGGCCACAGGGCCCCCAGGGGCTGAGCAGCAGCAGGTTCCCAGGAGGTTCACAAGTTGAGTGGAGGGGCCTGGAGAACATTTGGGGGCAGGGGCTGAGTGTGCGCTCAGGCAGCCCCTCGACAGGATCAGGTCTGAGGAGAGAGCACTGTGTCTGAGGTTCAAGACAGGAGACTGGCTGGGAAGCTGCTCACCGATATATGGAAGTGCTCAGCCGCGCACCCAGCTGCAGTTCTAAGGTCCCCACCAGGGTCCACTAAGCCCCCATCTCCAGCCACAGCTTTCAAGTTTAAATCAGGGTTGTCAGGCGATCTGGCCCTCAACCCCATGAGGGCTAATTTGGCAACATCAGGAGACGTCTTTGTGCTGCTGGTTCCTTGTGGGTGGGTGTGGGCAGACACCCCAGGGCGCACAGGACACTCCTGAAAACTGCCTGGCCCAAAGCGTCCGTCATGCCCACACTGACAGACCCTGGGGGGCAGTGCCCTGGGCGCCTGGCATGCATGAAGAGGAGTGTCCTGTGTGGCCTGCCGGTGAGAAGCCCAGCCCTATCGCATCAGCAGGGACACTCCTGGGGAGAGCTCATGTCTGGGTTGGGTTTGGAGGATCAGTGGGAGCTCTCCAGGAAGGAGATCAAGACAGCAGGGGTGGGGAGCAGGGCCGAATCACAGGGCCCCTGAGGGTGAGGGGGATGACTTACATCCTCTGGCCTTCAGGGACTGAGGTTTTAGCGCTTCTCTTACATGTGGGGAGGGGAGACGGCAGAGCCTGTGTGCTGGTTGCAGCCAAACCCCAGGCTGGTGAGGGGAGGGCCTGTCTGGTTCAGTGGAAGCTGACCCTGCCCCGGAACGCCTGGGGGTGCTCATCCAGATCCCTGCCCGGTCCCCACCCCGGGAATGAGGTGGTTAGTCACAGGTGGCGCCCTGCTCTGGAGTTTGAAAGGCCTTTTTCGCTCCTCTTGCAAAGTCTCAGCTGTGAGATACCCCGAGGCAGCCCTGGGTCCTGAAGCTCGGCTCACCTGGCCCCTCCTTGCCGGGAGGGAGCCCAGGGCTTCTCTGAAGGCTCTTGGACACCATGGGCAGCTGGGAGCAGGCCTGAGTGGGGTGGGAGCTGGGGGTCTTGATGGGGTGTGGCAGGGCAGCCCCCAGCCCCCCGGGGGAAGGTCTCCCAGTGGAAGCCTAGAGCTTGCGGTGGGTGGATGGGCAGCACTAGGTGAAAAGTCGGTCTTGTCCCCAGGAGGGTGTGAGGGATTGGGGGGTGGGGGGAGAGGCCGTGGGCTGGGAAGATGGCACCTCCCTGAGGGCATGCCCACATCCACCCAGGGCCCAGCGCCTCCATTGTCTCTGACTGCAGGCTGGCCTGCAGAGCACAGGAGGGACGTCCCAGAGAAGAGACACCCCAAGGGAGCAGGAGCCCCTGCCACAATGGGGTGCGTCTAGAATTGGCTTCCTTCTCATTTTCCCTTCCCCAAATGGGGGACTCCTTCCAAATCCTGTTCTCCGTCCTAGACCACGGAAGAGGAAGGAAGGGGGGCTGCGCCCCTGGGGGAGCGGAGTGCTGGTCTGGAATGGGCCCGGCCCGCAGCCCACATGGTGGGCACAGGGTGTCCCCCTACTCGGGAGACGGGCAGTGGGAGGAGTCGTCCCAGACAGATCCCCTGGGGCCTCCGCCGCCCCACACTTGCTGCCCTGCCATTGGTTTATGTCTGAGTTAGACACCCCTGTCCCCCTCCCATGCTGTGACCTCAGTTCTGTGGTTACTTCACTGTGTCTCGTCCGCTTGGTTCCTCCTGTTGCACACGGAGTCGCCCAGTGCCGGCCTCTGGCTTAATCACCTCCAGCCCCTTGCGGAGCGTCACCTGCATTGCATCGCGCCTGAGCCGCGCTCCCTGGTGGTGTCTCCCCCTCTGGGTGGGCACTCGGGCGCCGCGGGTCCTAGCTGCCGTGGCCGGTGCGGGTTGGACCGCACTGCAGCCAGCCTGGGCCTTGGGGTCTGCTGCCCGTTGTGGGGAGGGACTTGTAAGGGCGGAGCTTACTCCCGGGGCCTCTGCCTGTGCATTTCCGTCCCTCCCCCAAGACCTTCTGAGTGGGTGCCTGGTGGTTTCAGACAGTGAGTGCCAGGGAGGGAACCCACTGCCCTGGGTGTGGTGTGTCCAGTATGTCTCACTTGGTGGGCTGTAAGACCCCCGGGTAGCCACAGGCCTGGGCAAGGCTCTCGGGGATGGGGGCACCCACAGGCTTCTGGGCACGGGGCTGTGCCCCAGTAGTGTGCTAGCACTGGGAGCCGGGGGCCAGTAGGCGTGAAGGAACACATTACAGGGGTGTAACTTAGATACAAAAAACTCATCTATAAGTTTAAACCTTAAGGTTTGACAGATACAGTCAGCCTAGCCTTGTCATCACCACCATATAGAACATTCCAGAAAGTGCACTCTGACCCTCATGGACAGCCGCCTCCCTGCAGCCCCTGTCCCCGGCAAGGACTGACCTCCCTCTGCCGCTTTGGGGCGCCTTTCATAGATGGTCCGAGTAGCCGTGTGTCTTCCCCGGGCAGCTTGCTCTCAAGAGCCTCGTGCTGTGGGCATGTGAGGGCCTTGTTCCCACCGCCCCCTCACTGGGTGCAAGAGGTCTGCTCCCCACCTGTGGGCAGGTTAGGGTGCTTTCCAGGGACACGGCATCTTTCTGGGGACTGTGTGGATGCCCAGTAGTGGGCCGCAGGTGGTGTGCGTGGCTTCATAAATAGCCTGCTGGGCTCTCCCCGTCCATCCTCTGCCCTCCGCCAGCAGCGCGGGCATCCTGCGCTGCCCAGCCTCACCAGGCATGGTGGCCATGGGTAGCTTTCTGCTTCCTTAGTGCGCTGGCCTGTGCAGGGAGAGGGGTTCATCTGTAAGCCCCACATGTTACTGTGCGTGTTGGTGCTGAGTTTCCACTCGGGGGAAGCCAAGGACTGTGTGGACTCTGCTCAGTGCTGGCTGTGGACCCGCGGGGGGCTCAGCTGCAGGGGGTGACAGGGACGTGGGGTCCAGCGTCGTGTCATAGCTGCGTCAGGGCGAGTCCATGGCATTGTGGCACAGAGGGGAGACAGGTACAGGTGGCAAGGATGGGCCCCTCACTCCACGCCCACCATGTTCTCCGACCTTACAGCTGAGCTCCTTCCGCCTGGTGGCCTGGGTGGAGAGGTGGCGTGACGGGGAGACCCGGCTGCGTGGGGCTGGGCACAGGCCACCATGGGCATCTCCCATCACCTGGGAGGCCGGAATCTGATTCTTCAGTGGAATTTATCTTGTGTGTGGCCTGCAAACACTTGCTTGTACTGGGGCAAGCCCAGAAAAACAAACCACGGAAAGGAAGTCACCCCGAGTTCTATGATCTTAGACTAAAAGAGAAAGTTTAAATTGCCTAGAATTCTACCACCCAGAGAGAGGCGGGCACCAGCTGTGCTTCTGGGGTGTTCTCTGGGGAGGTCTGGGCTCTACGCGACTACTCTACCCCTCGTGCTCACCTGGTCTCCTCCCCACAGAACCCGGCCATCGCCGACATCTACACGGAGCACGCCCACCAGGTGGTGGTGGCCAAGTATGCGCCCAGCGGCTTCTACATCGCGTCTGGAGGTACCTGTGCTGAGCGGGGCTGGGGCCCGGGCAGCGGGCGGGGCAGCGTGTGCTGAGTACGGGGTGGGGCTGACCGGGGAAAGCTCCATCCAGAACGAGGGAGCTCCAACTCAGGTCAGCAGTGGTTCTCGTGTGGTTGGCCAGAGGCCTCTGGGGCTGTGCTGTCACGTGTGGGGCCTCATGCCGTGCACATGAGTGTCCACACACACCTGGGCCGTCTCGGTCTCGGGTCACCTGCACCGGCTGCTCCCGTCCTGGTCCAGCATAAGGCCGGCCTCAGGCCCTTTCACTTGTGGGCTGGGCCTCTGCTCAGCTGGCTTTTGCGCAGCTCCATGGGGGCTGGGTAGAGGGGGCCCTCCCAGCACGAAGACCTTGGCACTGTAGGGTGCTGTACTCGCTTGGCCCTTTGAAGCAGATCTCTCACCATCTGCACATGAGAAGGGGGAGACAGACATTAGAGGCGCTCATTCCGCTCCCCCCATTCTTTCATTCATCTATTCTCACAGGTCGGGGGGCAGGACCCACTCGGGGTGTTTTGTCCACACTGCGCCTCCCCAGGGGTTTTCCCCTGCTGGCCGTGTAGCCTCCTTCCAGGCCTCTGGTGCCCTCCAGAGCAGTTGGGGGGACCAGTGTGGCAGTGTGTGTGAGAGTGGGCACCCTGTCCTCGTGGACCAGGTGACGACTCATTATCTGTCTCGGCGGCCGTGACAGCGCTAGGGCAGGCCAGGCTTGGTGTCTGCTCCACCTGCGTCTGTGGAACTTGCTGCGTCTCGTGTCCCAGGGTCTCTCACCCTGTCAATTCTTCCGTCTGGCCCTGCTCTGCCAGCAAGATGCCTCTTCATTTAAAGTCCCAGGGTTTGGGCCCGGTGCCTTTTAATCTTCTCTTCTCAGGAGAGCGGTGTGGTTGGCAGGCCTCGCGGCTGGCCTGGCACAGTGCCCAACTGCCTGTCCCGTCCTGGCTGGCAGGGGCAGCGCCCAGAAATCGGGGCCATGAAGGACAGCCCGCGGAGCTCCCCGCGGTCCTTGGGGCCGAGGGAAGACCAGGAAGCGCTGGCTGTGGCAATTAGGACCCTGGGCTCAAACCAGTGCAGTGTGCGGGGCTTGTAGTGAAGAGGCGGCAGCGGCTGAAGCGGCCGGCTAAGTGGGTTACCAGGCACCTGGAGGGGGCAGGGCCGGGTCCCTGGGTGCCAAGTGCAGGGTCTGGTACTTCGGGCAGCCTGCAGCTACTCCCAGGTGGGGTCCAGCGCGCTGTGGGCTCACTAGGTGCCAGGGAGACGGGCTCCTGTCTGCTGAGAGATTGAACCTTCGGGAAGCCCTGCGATGTGAGGAGCGCATATTAGGGCCTGGGCCCTTCCTGGGCAAAATGTCCATTTCTGCCTCTCCAGGAGTCCACAGTCTTTGTGAAGGTGCTCAGGGCAGGGCTGTTTCTGGGACAAACCCAAGTCCCTTTTAGCAACTTTTTCCTCTGGAGATTATGATGCTGGTGGCCCGACCCACCCAGTGGTTTTGGTGAGCAGCTGGTGCCCGTGGCACTGCAGCAGGGAGGGGCAGATGCACTGAGAATGCTGTTTGTGTCGGGGATGTGGCTCCCAGTGTAGAAAGAGACTGGAGGGAGGAGGCTTCCGCCTCACTGCCACGCCCTTTCCTCCCCAGCTGGCCTGCTGTTCACAGAGGGTGCTCAGGCAGCCCCAGGTCCCCATCCCTGCTCACCTCAGCCCCTGCCCTGCAGCCCTCCAGGGCCTCCCAGGGCCTCCCTGTGCTTCATTCCTGTGCTCATGTGGAAGCTGGCTTGTCCTGTCTGCCCCACAACTGGACGCCACCCCACCTGCTTTCCAAGCCTCTGCCCAGTGTAGACGCCTGCTATGAGCCGTGGCTCTGCAAAGCCTACTTGGGGCTAACTGGTGGCCAGTGCCCTCTGTGCACTAAGGGCCTATCTAGGTCTCTCTGTGCCAGCTCGTGTTACCTTCACAGCGCGCTCCTGGTGGCACCGCCCACTGGGGGCAACCCTCCAGGTGGCCAGAGGCCAGGGCAGGTCCACCTCTCCCTGGACTGCCTGCGAGCCTCCGCCCCTGCCCGGGGCTGGCTGTGGTGGTGAGCCGGGGTCCTGGGACACTGGCAGACTCCAGAGTGAGCGTAAGTGCTGCACCTCTTCTCACCTCTCCTGCTGACGTGGCGTCTGTGCTCCCTGGGAAGGGGCGTGTAGGCGTTGGTGCTTGGATCTCAGTGACAGGATCGTGGCGGGAAGGAGGGCGTGGCCCCCACTGCTCGAGCTGGGTGTCGCGCGCTCTGTAGTAAGACTTCCACACCCACGGCGCGTCTCCCGCCTCGTGCCTCAGTCAGGCGCCGTGGGCAGCGAGCTTGCTGGGATGAGATGAGCACAGCACACCAGTGGGGTGGGCGCGGCTGCGCGTGGCGGGAGGTGCGAGCTCGCACCATCAGGTTTCACTAGTGAAGGCCTGGCTCCCCCTTTCGCAGGTGCCCGAGCCCACATGCCTCGGTGGAGGCAGGTTCTAGCAAGACAGAACCGCCCCCAGGGCCTAGGGGGCTGCCGCCTGTGCCCTGGTGTGGGGTGCTGGCCCAGCTGGCCGTCCCAGCAGCCTCTGGTACAAGCGGAAACCTCTGACTGAGCTCAGCGGCCTCTGGTGCAAGCGGAAACCTCTGACTGAGCTGTACCCATGCCCCCGGCCTGACGCGCAGCTGCAGCCCAGGCCTCTCCTGAGCCGGCGCCGGGGGCTGCCCTGCCAGGCCTGAGCACCTCTCACTGCCCGCTGTGCCCGCAGACGTGTCTGGGAAGCTGCGGATCTGGGACACCACGCAGAAGGAGCACCTCCTCAAGTATGAGTACCAGCCCTTCGCCGGGAAGATCAAGGACATTGCTTGGACAGAAGACAGTAAGAGGATCGCAGTGGTCGGGGAAGGAAGGGAGAAGTGAGTGTGCCCAGCCCTCCCTGCCCGTGCCCTTGGCTTCACTCCCTCTGGGTGCCCTGTGGGGCGGGGGGTGATGTCCAGCCGCTCACGCTGGTGGGTGTCGAGCTTCCGTCCACACAGGCCTGCGTAGCCCCCGCCCCCTGCTCCTCCTGGGACTCCACTTGTGGGTCTGGACGCTTCCTGGCAGTAGCAAGCAGGAAGGGGAAGGGCAGAAGCAAGGGCGCTCAGGAAAGCATTATTGGTGCCCCCCACAGTTGCCAACCTGGCTGCAAGGGAGCCTAGACACCCCCAGCTGGCACATCCCCGAACGCCTCTTACTAAGGGAGAAGGGAAGGGGTCAGGGCTCTTGGGTGGGGGCCCTGAGTGTCTGCTGCACTCTTGGGTCTCTGGGGGAGTGTGCCCTGGTTTTCTTGCCCCAGGTGCAGCCGGGGCCCCTCCAGGGCAGTGTGACGGCCTTTCGGCACTTGACCTGGCAGGCACCTTCTTCACTTCCTCACCCGGAGGCTCTGTGGGCATCCCCTCCCCGGTGGCCCAAGCCGCCCGTGTGCCTTCACAGTCCTTATGGCTGGTTTGCAAATGGCAGCCACAACAGTCCTGTTCAGCAGCCGCCACCCGAGAGCGAGGCCGCTTGCCCCCTGGGGTAACGGGTGTATTTCCTGGTCCCCTGGTAAAACTGTCGGCAAATGGAGGAGGCCACAGGCCGTTCCCTGCCCTTCCCCGCAGAGGCTCATAGCGCTGAGCCACTGGACGCAGACGTCCAGTCCCTTCCCAGAGGCACCATCTCGGGGCCTTTCCTCAAGCGCCGAGCCGACCCACCGTGTCTTGTGCGGGGCGTGTGGTCATGACCAAGGCCTCCTGCCGCCCCTGCTCTGACTGCCCAGCGCCCCTCCCAGGACAGGGCTGACCCGCTGGACTGCTCTCTGCAGGTTTGGCGCCGTCTTCCTGTGGGACAGCGGCTCTTCGGTGGGCGAGATCACAGGCCACAACAAAGTCATCAACAGTGTGGACATCAAGCAGAGCAGGCCGTACCGGCTGGCCACCGGCAGCGACGACAACTGCGCCGCCTTCTTTGAGGGGCCACCGTTCAAGTTCAAGTTCACCATTGGTGTAAGTGCACTTCGCTCTGAAGGGGGTTTCTGGTCATCTTGGTGACTTGAGCACCCGTGCCCGTTAGATGCTGGCGCTGGGCAGGAGACCCCGATGCCAGCCACAGTGTGGCGTATAGGCGGAAGGAGGTTCCCTGGGTGGGAGACGCACCGTCCCCCCGGCCTTGTGGTCCCACACCGGGGGTCCTGGCTGTCCTAGTGCAAAGGGGCCCCATGCAGGGCAGGACTTCCCTGGAACATACCTGGGGGGCTGCGAGACCTGGCGAGTACCCTGGCCTTGGAGGTGCCTTGCCGGGATGGGGAGCCCGGGGCCGTCACATTTCACATGGTGAGGGCAGAGCTTGCGGGCTTCTGGATTGGTCTGCTGCGGGCCCCAGCATATGGGAGGGCAAGGACCCGAGAGGGAAGTGGGTGCTGACTGTGAAGTGTGTGCGCTCAGCTCCCTGGCAGGTGAGCCGGGGTCTGGACCCAGCTCCCTGCCTATCTGACAGGGACAAGGGCCTGAAGCTCTTACAGCCTCACTTTTCTATCTGCCCAAGTAGGTGGGGCCATCTGGCATCAGAGCCCCTCAGCTGTGCTTTTGGGGCCCACACAACCACCTGCAGGCCCAGGGACCCCTCCTGCCAGCACATTTCCTGTCCTGGGGCCCCAGCGCAGGGCAGGTTCTGAACCTCCCCTCCTGGTTCTTCCCGCGTCTCTGGCACCAGCGGTGGGAGAGAGACACAGAACACTGGCCGACTGTGTCCCTGGGGTCGGCAGTGGTGGCGGGCCGGTGGCTACCTCAGGATGAGATGAGCTAGTATCCCGAAAGCGGCTCAGGGCGCTGCTGCTAACTTGGGTGGTTTCCCAGTGAGTCATACACTGTGAGCAGGGTGAAGCCAGAAAGGGCAGTGCCCCAGCTCCCCTGCGGGCAAGGTTCCTGACATGCATAATGGCTAGGCACGGAAGGGTCCTTCCTATTCCTAGAGAAACGGACCATGCTTCACCCCCTAGGCCTCTGCACCCCATGTGAGACTCAGCGAGGCCGGGGGCACCTGCTCATGGGGCCTGAGACCATGAGGAGGCGTTCGGGTTTCTGCCGACTCATGTTGAGCATAGGAAGGAGGGGGTGCTCAGCCCCCCACACTCACCCCAAATGTAAGGTGTGGCCGACTATGGGGGTCAGCCTGCCTTAAGCCCTCGACACTCCACAGTCAGCTAGCATGTGGGGGGCTGTCTGACCTTCTAGGGCCAGTGGCCCCAAAGGGTGGGCTTATGGTGCTGCCTGGGAGGGCCGTGGGCCCAGGAGGTGGCTCCCAGCATCACAGGAGGCCGGGTGTGGGCTGGTCACGAGCTGTTCCCCAGTCTGGCACAGCATTCCCGGGCAGGTTGTGGCCTCCCTAGCGCCCACTGTACCTGGTCGGCCCCTGCCCGCACGCTCTGGGATCGGGGTCGGAGGCGCAACAGCAGGCCCCACCGAGCATTGCCCACGCCCCACCAGTCCTGCACTTGGGCGCCACGCCCTCTTCAGCCGGTGGGCCCATGGATGAGCAGGACCCCTCTTGGGGTGCCGCCCGCTCTGAGAGCTGTGTCCACGCCCCAGGCCCCCTGTGTTGCCATCAGCAGGTGGTTTTTGTCGAGTAGAAGTTGATTCCGGAGGAGCAAAGGTCAGGGCTCGCCTCTTCGAGAGGGACGGGCACCCTGGTCTGTTCCCCAGGAGGGGAGCTGCGCCTGCCACCCCACCTGTGGTCTTCCCCATCAGTCACCTCCAAACGGGCCTTCCCACTTCCTTCTGAACAGTTGGGGGTAACGTGAGCGAGAAATTTCCATCTGGGCTATTATTAGACATGCTGCTTTCCTAGACAGCGAAGTCAGTTTGGGCACTCTCGTGCCAGGTGTTCAGGCAGTTTCCTGTTGCCTCACTCTTGGCAGGGTAGATAGCAGAGGCTCTTCAGGTGTCTGCCAGGTGCCGCTGGGTACCTGTGCTGGGCACCTGCACTGAGCTGGCCTCTCTCAGCCTCACTGGTCCCGTGGGGTATGTGCTGACTGAGGGTGCCCAGGAGTGTGGGGACCAGGGCGAGGCCCAAGGAGGGCCAGAGTGAGCCTTTGTCCCTTCATCTGACCCTGTCTCTACCGGGGACAGTGGTGAGTGGGCAGCTCTGTTGGGGCTTGTAAGGGGGGGCAAGTGAGGCTGGCGCCATGGTGCTGCGCAGCTGAGCAGACCTGGATGCAGGTCACTTGGGCCTGAGGGTTAGTCCTCCACGCAGGGGCAGCTGAGGCTGGAGTCAGTGACTGGACCCAGTGGTGGCTTCATTGTCACCTGATTGTTTTTACACCACAGGCTCTCGACAGTGACAGGAGGGGATGGTGGAGGAGGTCGTGAGGGTGGGCTGCTCCAGTTAAAATCCACAGACATGTTCCCTGGGGCCCCCGGGCCAGGGAACGCCCCAAGGTGTGGGCCCTCTGGGCTGTTGGGGTGGGGCAGACCTGGGAGCTCCAGCTCCGTAGCTGGCAGCCATAAACAGCCCCCAATCTGGGGCCCCTCACAATGTTTCCCCAAACCCGTTCCTCTGCGCACTGGCTCACCGCCTCGGGCACGGGGCTCTCTGCCCCGCCCTCACACGGGCTGTTTCAGGCCAGGCATCAGCCTCCCGCACAGCTGGACTCCTCGGGCAGGGCCACGGTGGTGCAGCCACACAGTCCTGGCAGGAGGGACTCGCTGTACCGCCGAGACAGGGGCAGCAGGCTGGTGGGGAGGGGGGCCTTCCTGGAGTGTGGAAATGGGGTGGCCCGGGGTCACGGCTGGGGCTGCCCCAGGAGACTGGTCCTGAGCTGGGCTGGGAAGGGGGCCCTTGCTGTCTCAGCAAACCAGTGACCCTTGAGTTGATCGCAAGTTGGAATCGGGTGGCAACTGAATATTTTTCTGAGAGAAATCAGTACCCCCACCACAGCACCCCCTTAGCCTGACGTCCTTCTGCACCTGGGCTCTGGGGGTTCTTCTGGCGTCATTTCTGAGGGAGCCCTTTCTCCTTGGGCTGCCCAGGGCTCGCTCAGACACAGGGAACCCGCCACCACCCTTGTCCCTCGCCTGAGGGACCACGAGCAGCAGCAGCAGCGGGGACGGGCGAGGTCAGGACCAGCTGGGCCTGCAGCCTGAAGGGCACGTGGGCGGCCGGAGCAGTGGCAGTGGCTCCAGCCTCCAGGAGCTCTGCCCGTGACTTATTCGCCCCCACCCGGCCCTGGGTGGCCGAGAGCAGTAGCAGTTGGCCCGACCTCAGAGCAGCTCCCGCCATGGCCGGGGCCTGGAGACACAGCGTCCGTGGGTAGTTTGCCTGCAGGGCAGGTCCCCCCGCCACACAGCTCACCCCAACTTCGCCCCTTCAGAGCGGTGAGCGTTACCTGCAGTGGACGATCCCGTGGGTGGTCCAGCACTGTGCCTAGGGCCTTGGATTTGGGGGTTTTAGAGGCTCGGTCTCTGACGCCAAGTCCTCCTCACTTGGGGAGGATGAGCTCACTCTCGTATTCGGTGAGTGAGTCAGTCGCCCCTGGCGCGCTTCTCCCCTCAGCTGCTCACTCTTACCCCCGGAAGGTCACAAACGTTGTTTAATTTCTTCACAACCTCATTGTTCCCTCCGCGGATGCCCTCCAGTCCCTGCCGTGTACTGCGCCGAGCCAGGGCAGGCCAGGGAACCAGTCTCCTGCCATCAGAGCTTTAGGGCTGAGCTGGCTTGGGCCCGGGGGAGGGGAGGCCACCAGCATGGGATGGGGCACGTCCCCCGGGAGACGGGCCGGGCACAAGCAGAGGACAGCTCGGCCTGCCCCCACACCAGGCTGCTTGGGATTTGCTATTTCATCTCTGATGGCGCCTGTGGGCTGGCAGCTCCCAGGAGCCCTGAGCTGGTGTTCAGAGCAGGCCGTGGGCTTCTCTGGGAACCTCCCACCTCCCGTCGCCCCGTGGTGACTGTCTGCTTTCCCCCAGGACCACGGCCGCTTCGTCAACTGTGTGCGATTCTCTCCTGACGGAAACCGATTTGCCACAGCCAGCGCCGATGGCCAGGTGAGGGCAGGGCGAGGCGGCTTCGTCTCCTTGTCCCCTGTAGCTGCCCAGCACCAACTTGGCTAAACACAGTCTGCCCCCCTCAGACACGGCCCTCACCCGGCTGAATCAGCAGGCGCTCTGGACCCTCTGTCCTTTCAGACAGAGCTGGGACGGCCTGGCCGCCTGTCTGTTAAGACCCTTGTCACACAGCGGACAGCCGAGCGGCCCAGTGGGGCCACGCCCAGCCACAGGCCGGCTCCCAGGCTCGCCGCTCATGGTGACACACGTTCCTTTTTCTTGAAGATTTACATCTATGACGGCAAGACCGGAGAGAAGGTGTGCGCTCTGGGGGGAGACAAGGCACACGACGGGGGCATCTACGCGGTGAGTCGGGGCGCTCTTGGCGTGGCGCTGTGGGGCCGTTTGTGGTTTTGAAGTTTGAAATGGAGGTTGAAGCTTGGGGCGGTGGTCGGGGCACTTCGAGGTGATGCGGGACGGGGTGCCGAGGCTTGGACAGACAGCCTGGACGTCAGGGCTTCTGGAGGCTCAGGGGGCATCGGGCACAGCTCTGCAGCCAGGGCTGTGTGTCTGTCCCACGGCCTGGAGCCAGACCAGGGAAAGGATATTAAAAAAGACACACAGCCCTGGCTGCAGAGGGGTGCACCCCTCGAGTCCTACCCCCTCCCAGCTTTGCTGCTTCCCGGGGTCCTTCCCTGCTCCACAGGGCTGTGACCTCTGACACGCCTCTTTGTCTAACCAGGTCAGTTGGAGTCCTGACAGCACCCACTTGCTTTCTGCTTCTGGAGACAAAACCTCTAAAATCTGGGACGTCAACGTGAACTCAGTGGTCAGCACGTTTCCCATGGGCTCCAATGTCCTGGACCAGCAGCTGGGCTGCCTGTGGCAGAAGGACCATCTGCTCAGCATCTCGCTGTCCGGGTACATCAACTACCTGGACAGGAACAACCCCAGCAAACCCCTGCGTGTCATCAAGGTGAGACGGCCTGGCGAGGAGGGTGGGTGCCCGGCTGGGGTGAGGTTGGGGAGGCCGGCCCTAGGGTGCTGGGGGAAAGCTGGCGGGGCTCAGGGAAGGTGTTTCCAGGCATGGGGAAGGGCTGCGGTGTTGGGGTGGGCGATCAGGAGGCTGGATGGCTGGGGCTCACCCTGCACTCCCGTCTGTCTCCACAGGGTCACAGCAAGTCCATCCAGTGTCTGACGGTGCACAAAAATGACGGCAAGTCCTACATCTACTCTGGGAGCCACGACGGGCACATTAATATCCTTTCCCTGCTCTGGCTCCAGGCCGTGGGACAGACACGCAACCCTGCGAGCTGCGCCCGCATGCCCCCTGAGCCTCCAGTTTGGGCTGCGGCCTCGGCTGCATGGTCCGTGAGCCCCCGGAGCCTTGCTGCTCCTGCCCAAGCTGCAGAATCCGTTCGTGTTGGAATCCAAGAGAACATGGAGCTTTTGGCTGAGCCCCCTAGTTCTAAAAATGAAAGGTCAAGCTCAGATTGCCATAGCGCCTTCCCCACATCACTGCTGGGCTAGGGCTGGTCGCCTGCTCCCTCTGTGAGGTTCTCTGGGTCTGAGATGGCCCCTGGAGGCGTGTGTGGCAACCTTATGCACCCCGCTCTGCTGTTTGTGGTCTGGGGCCTGTTACCCCTCTCATGGGACTGTCTCCAGTGTTGGACCAGCCTTCTGTGTAAGGGCCTGGCCTGTGCAGACGCTTCCATGCTGTGGCCTTGCTGAAGGGCGTCCAGTGCACCTCGTCCCCGCATCTTCCAGGCCAGCCTGGGCTCCCCACAACCCCAAGAAGGGGTAGAGAAAGCACTGGAACCACCTCCTGGAGCAGCACCCCCAGCACACTACCCTTTCTCTCCCCACTTGTCCCCAGTTCGGTGTTGGGGTGCCACCCCAGGACCTGCCAGACATGGGAAAGGCCTCCTGATGGACCCACAGTCCCCCTTTGAGAAGAGATTCTCAAAGAATTTAAGATTCAGACCTGGAGGTGACCAGGCGGCCCCTCAGGCTGGGCACTGACTTTCCTCCCCAGTCCCCAAGGCCAGGCTTCTCCTTAACCTGCCCACATTACTGGGACTCTGAGACGGGGGAGAACGACTCCTTCGCGGGGAAGGGACACACCAACCAGGTGTCCAGGATGGCCGTGGACGAGTCAGGGCAGCTGGTGAGCTGCAGCATGGATGACACGGTGCGCTACACCAGCCTGGTGCTGAGGGACTACAGGTGAGGCGGTGGACAACCCCCGCTACCAGGACGGCACCTGCCCGGCCCGTGGGAGTTTGTCCCTGAGCGCCCCGGAACCCCACCTCCAGGCTCCGCCCTCTTCTGGCTGCCTTGTGGTGACCCTGGGCATTAGCACAGCCCTCGCGAATCTCCCCTCTGGGCTGGGCTGGCCGACCCTCACCTTATCTGCAGGGTCCGGTCCGTCAGCCTCCAGGCCTGGTCACGTGGCGTTGCCCTCGGCCTGCTTTGCTGCTGCACGCGGTTGTCCGGGCCGTGGCCCTCGCCTTGGCCCAAAGTGGACGCGTGGCTGTCAGCAGCGTCCTCAGGTCGCCCTGCTGCGAGGATGGGCTCTGGCTGGGGCAGGTCTGCACCAAAACCTGGCAGCAGACGGGGGCAGGGCGGAGACTGGCGGGGGTGCCTGCCACAGACACGGCATCCTCTCGCCACCCCTTCCGGGTTCCACTCTTGAGCCCGGGGGTCATTTTCAGCAAGTCGCTCCTAGCTGTAGCTTGCTCTAGGGTTTTCTCCGGCGTGGCCTGGCTCGAGCGTGCGTTTCACGCCCGCACGATCCCAGCATTTTCCTTTCTTTCTAACAGCGGACAGGGGGTGGTGAAGCTGGACGTCCAGCCCAAGTGCGTGGCCGTGGGCCCTGGAGGGTACACCGTGGTCGTGTGCATCGGGCAGGTAGGCTCCCGCGCGGCAGGTTGGTAGGCGGGCAATGCATGCTCAAGGCGTGCGGGGCTGCTCTCTCCACCCGAGGCTTCTGCCGAGCTCCTCGTGCTCTCTTGAGCTGAGCCTCAGCCACGCTGTAGCTGGGCGCAGTATGCCCCTTCACAGCCCGGGAGGCAGAGGCACGGGCGGGTCTGGCACTTGCTGAGACCTGGCTGCGAGAAGGCAGAGCAGGACATGGCCAGGCTCTGTCAGCTGCGCCCGAGCCGCCCATCAGTGCTGGGGCGTGTGCGGCACAGCCGCCTGGCCCCTCATGTCCTGATCCAGCCCGGCAGCCGTGCAGCCACGTGGCTGCAGGCATTTCCCTACCCTCTCTGAGCTTGTTTCCTTGTCCCTCACAGCTCATGGAGGGCGCAGGGGGTGGCCAGGAGCCACCTGGGGCAGGGAGCTGGGGCCCCGTCTGAAGCCTGGGTTCTCTGTCCAGACGGCGAGGCCAGTGCTGCCTCCTCTCTAGGAGCGCCCTGATGGAGGCCCAGACCTGACCCGCTTCGTACAGGACCCCCGAGCAGATGTCCTGTCAGCAGGCCTGGCTCCTGGGGTATAGAGTGGAAAAGGCGGGGGTACCCCAGCCCCCACTTGACAGGAGTGACACCCCCGCAGGAAGGCTGCCACTCAGGACCCACTGCCCCTGTGCCTCCTGCACACGGGATGCCTGGGGGAGGGCACGTTTCTGTGCATCCTAGGTACCAATGCTTGCTGCCAAGCAATTACTGCAGACACCCCGGATGGTCAAGGGTGCAAAGGACCAGATGACTTGGCACAGGAGGGACTGGAAGGAGATGTTCTGGAAGGATAGAGGGGCTGGGCTGGGGCATGCACAGACCAGGCCCAGGTCTCTGTGTGGAGCAGCCGGCATGACACGAGGCTCCGGGGAAGCTTCGAGAGAGGCTGGCAGAGGCCCTTTGTGGGGCCTGGCGGTGGCGACGACAGCCTGCCTTTGTTGCAGTAGTGTCCTGGCTGACTGCTGAGGAGCGCAGCAGGCTCGGAGTCACTGGCCCCTGCATGTCCCCCAGCAGGGCTAGGGCTGGCCAGCGCCCAGCCCAGCAGGGAGCAGCAGCCGAGGGGCCTCTGCGGCTCTCATGGCCAATCCGTGTCTCGTAGATCGTCCTGCTCAAGGACCAGAAGAAGTGCTTCAGCATCGACAACCCTGGCTATGAGCCTGAGGTCGTGGCGGTGCACCCCAGTGGAGACACGGTGGCTGTCGGGGGCTCGGTGAGGTGCCTCCCCACACCCTCTGTTGGGGCTCTGGGGGACTGGGGTGACATGTGCTGTGTGAGTGTCGTCTGTCTTGGGGTGGCCGGGCAGGAGGTGGGAGCTGCCCTCACTGACCTGCAGAGGCCCCCCTGGTACCACGGCCCCCAGGGTGCTTGTCCAAGCAGGGTGCTTCTTGGCTCCCACCCAGGCTCCGTGTGGGCCTCCAGCGGGCTTGCCCAGGCCCTGAGGGTGGAGGGATGGTCTGCCAGGCCAGGACATTGCTGGACACTGACGCGTGTGCGGGTGTCTTGGAAAGGGCTGTGCTGTGCACACCTGCCCTGGGGTTCACTGGAGTTGGTTGGAAAATGCAGACTCATGAGGAGGACCCAGCCATACAGGATCAGATGGGGGCGGCGAGGGTTCTGTGTTGAGTTAATGTTGTTAAACGTGACTCACTGTACTGCTGTCCCCACGCCGAGAAGCCCAAGAGCTGCTGCAGGGCCAGGCCCTCCCTGCAGAGAAGGGGTGGGGGGGTGGGGAGAGAGTGTGCGTGTGTGTGTGTGTGCGCGTGTGCGCGCGCATGTGCCTACCTATGCATGCGCTGACCACTGCCCCTGGCCCCTGCAGGACGGGAACGTCCGCCTCTACTCCATCCTGGGCACCACGCTGAAGGACGAGGGCAAGCTCCTGGAGGCCAAGGGCCCCGTGACCGACCTGGCGTTCTCCCACGATGGCGCCTTCCTGGCCGTGTGCGACGCCAGCAAAGTGGTCACAGTCTTCAGTGTTGCTGACGGCTACTCGGTGAGCGAGCCGCCTGCCTCGTCCCCGCACTGGACAGAGCAGGTGGCGGGTGGGCTCTCTCCGGCCGCCCTCCCACAGGCTGGAGACCGGTGGCTCCCTGCTCTCAGGTGGGGAGTTCCGGGTCGAGGACTCTTGCCCTGCTCCTGGGAATGAGTGACTCCAGGAGGATGGGTGGTGCGGCAGCCACGAGGCTCCCTGTGGAGACAGGCGCCGGGTTGGCCTGGGCGGCCAGGTCAGGTGCTCCCGTCTCTGGGCCAGAGTTCTCGCCTCTGACAAGGTTTGAGACTCAGTTTACCTCTTGCCTCATCAGTTAAGACCCTCTGTAGTGCTGGTTGTCCAGACCCTGCCCTGTGCCAGGTGAGGGAGGCCCCAGCAGCAGGGAGACCTAGGAGCTGCCCATTCCTGGCAAAAAGGGGTGTGGGGGTTGAGGTGGCCAGCACTCCCGTCCCCTCCATGGGAACTGTGGGGCGGCCCCTTCTCACAAGCAGGGGCACGGCCTTGGAGGGACTGGGTGTGAGGAGCTGGTATGCAGGGGCAGAGGGTACAGGCTCCTGGCTCTGCCCAGTCCACCGTCTCAATGGGACGGTTTTGAAACCTACAGCAAAGCTGGGAGAACTAGGGACCAGATTCCGCCCTAACATTTCGCTGCGTGACATGACCCGTCCACCCCCCGTGAGCCAGAGTTCATTCAGTCGTTGCTTAGTTTTATCTTTTGTAAGTGTCACGTGTAACAACAGCCCAAGTGAACAAAGTCAGACGTTGACGGCGTGTGCACCCAGAGCCCAAGCCGCACACGTGTCGGCCTCTGCACGTGTCATATGCTGAGTGGCCTCATTGCGCACAGCAGGGGTCTCGTTGAGGACACGTCATGTCACCTATAAGGGCAGACTTGGCGAAGGACAGAATAGGCAGACCTTGAGAAGGAAGTCGTGGCCACGTTGACCACCGCTGTGGAGAAGAGGCGCTTTGAAGGAAAGCCTTCGAGATGTGTCCCGTGGCCACGCCCATCCCCCGGGCAGAGCCTACCTGCTCCCCCACTGGGCATGTGGGGTGGGGGTAACCTGTCCCCTCACAAGGCCGAGAGCCCTGGAGGCCGGTGTCGTGTGCGGCCCTGTGTGCCAGGGCTCCTGGGTACAGTGCTGGCTGCTTAATCAGAGGCCACACCTTCTGGCCTTCAAGTAGCGGGCAGTGGTGGGCCTTCCAGCGGCCAGTGAGCTGGTGGAGGTGCCTGTATGGAGAGGGCACTTAACCACTGGGTCTGCGGAGCTGGGGCACTGAGTGCTGAGCCCTGACCTTCCACCTCTGCTTTGGCTTGCGTCTAGGAGAACAATATCTTCTACGGACACCACGCAAAGATCGTCTGCCTGGCCTGGTCCCCAGACAACGAGCACTTTGCCTCCGGCGGCATGGACATGATGGTGTACGTCTGGACCCTGAGTGACCCTGAGACCAGGGTCAAGATCCAAGGTGACTGCCATACCCACTGGGTCCAACCTCTCTACAGCGCCCAGACGGCAGCTCCGGGGGCTCCCTCCCTGGGCTTCATGGGACTGGTGGGGCTGCAGAAGAGACCACTGTGCCGGGAAGGGGGCAGGGCAGGACTGCTTGGTCCTGCAGACAGCAGTGTGGGGGTGGCCTCTCCTGACTTGATAGCTTCCCGGTCCTTGGTGGGCACAGCCGTTTGACACCCCCCGCCATCACCCAGACTCCTGCTCGCCCTCTGTGTGGTGTTGGGGCCTCGGGCGTTGATGAGCAGGGCACAGGGTCCCATGCTCCGGGGAAGATGCGAGACCCGGGAAGTGGCTCCCCTGACCTTGAGCGCTGTCTTGCAGACGCACACCGGCTCCACCACGTCAGCAGCCTGGCCTGGCTGGACGAGCACACGCTGGTCACCACCTCCCACGACGCCTCCGTCAAAGAGTGGACAATCGCCTACTGAGGGCCGCGCCTCGGGACAGACCGAATCAGGGACTAGAGTTTACCCGCGCCGAACACGTCCTTTCTTGAAATACTCCTGTACCGCGCCGCCCCACCCCCACCCCAGAGGGAGGGGCCTTAACGGAAATTATCCTCGTCTCTACAGGGTGTTCAGACCTATACATGTCCTTTGAAAGCTTTAGACAGTGACAGTTTGCACATGAAAAATAAAGCGAGCACTTAAACCACGCGTGGAGCATCACTGAAATCCCACCACTCAGCTCTGCCCGGGGGCGGAACATTCCAGAGGCCTCGCCTCGCAAGCACACAGCCCCCACGCCCCGCGGCGCTTGCTGTCTACCCCAAGGTTAGGGCCCAGGCCACCCACCACAGGCGCGTGCGGGTGGGTGTCCCGCGCTCCAAGGGCGCCGTGCCTGTGCCACCTCCAGGGTGTGGGTGCACCCTCGTCTGCCTCGTATTTCCCTGTCAATTCTTGTGCTTGGTTTTCGCAATGGAATCGTGGGATTCTTCTGGTTTGGGTTTATTTTTATGTATCTTAACTGTTGCCTGTCTGCCTTGACAGCTCCCGAGGGCGCCCTGGCAGGTTAGAGCCCTAGTTCACTAGACGGAGGCCACGTCACACTCCCGCTCTGACTTTGTTCTGTTTCTCTGCCCCCGAGAGCAAAGTTTAATTTAAAGGCGAAGGTGGAGTCACTGTCAACTAACCTGTTGTTTCCGCCTTTCTTTTTCCAGTGCAGAAATTAAAAGTAAGTATAAAGCACGGTGATCTGGAGTTTTTTTGTGTGTGTCAGTTGCTGGTCCGTGTCAGCTGAGAGCAATCCCCCCTTCCCTGCACTTGTGGAAACACTTTAAGCGCGTTAAGAGATTAGAGAGAAATCATTAAATATCTTTTCTCCTGACTGTGGCTGGCTGGCTTTGTGGCACGGGCATGCGGGGTGCAGGGCACGTGGGAAGCTGCCCCAGGTCGTCTGGCTTCGGGTGTCTCGCCAGCCTGCAGCCTCAGTGGGGGATACCCAGCTTGTGAGATGACCAGGTGGAGAGCAGCCTCAGGAGGGCCGGGACCCCAGCATCAGCGCACCCTCCCGCCCCGGCGCCACATCACCCCTTTCTTGGGACCTAAATTTCCTTCCATTTGCAAATTAACAGTGGACCATGTGATCTCTAGACCCCCGATTGTGAAGTTCTATGGCAGTCCTGGCAGTCTGAGCTTTCTGGCACTGCCTTCAAAAGTAAGGGATTAGCGGCCTCGAGGTGCTGGGAAACGCTGGATTCCCAGGCGCCCACGCGACAGTGAACGATGGTCTTGGTTGGAGAGAGCCGTGCGCGGCTGTGAGCCTGGCCCTGATGGGACACGCTCTCCCCGCCGGCCTAATCCTGCTCCTACAGCTGGAGGACGGAAAAAAGGGAAAAAATTCAACATTAGGCCACAATCACCACAGGCCTCCTCGGGGCACAGGAAACGCACTTTGTCCTGTGCTCAGCCAGGACGACGGAGCAGCCGCGCTCGGAGACCTGGAGGCCCGGGAGCCGACCCGGTGAGGCTGGGCCACGGCCCGAGAACAGGCTGCTGACTGTGCCCTCAGGAAACAAAGCAGATCCAACTTTGGAATTGAGCAATGGACTCAGAACCCCGGCAAACCCAGGGCTCCGGTTCACAGCAGCACCGCGTGCTGGGCGCGGAGCACTGAGGGAGGTGGGTTGCTTGTGACTTTTTAATCTGCATTCAAGGAGGAAAAGCCTGCCATAAACTTGTCAACTGTGCCAAAAGGCACAAATGCGCCAACACGCTGGACCAAGGGCTGTGTGTGTGATGGTTGCTGTGACTCCTTGCACGTGCCGGGTGTTTGGAGGGGACTGTGTGTCCGTGCCTATATTTAAAACTGACAGAATAATGCAAGTTGAGCAACCACGGTTATGAAAAGGCCTCAGGCTTGGACTTGAAAAGCAAAGCCTTCGGAGTCAGAGAGCCCGGGGAAGGAGGGTGTTGTCCAGACCACCGGCTCTGGGACACTTCTTGCTCGCCCCACACCCCCCCCCCCCTTTCTAGGAAGGAGATCTTTGGTCTCTGAGTTAACTTTAAAAGAAAAGTCACCTCTCTAGCAAGCGGAGGATGCAGTAGCATCTGCAAGCTCGCAGTTGGCTGTCATCTTCGGTCACAACCTAAACCACAGATCTCATCCTGGCTTGGGGAGGGGAGAAGCTGCCTTTGCAGGCAGGACACTGAGGGCCCCTCCCTCCCTGCTCCTGCCCATTCCATTTCCTTTTGCAGACCTTCTCTGACTTAGGACCATTGTGTAGGATCTGGGACCAGATCGGCTGCCCTGGGCCAGAGCCTGGATCTGATGCCAATTAGCAATGCCTGGTCAAGACTACCACCTAAACTGATTAGAAATGCCTGGCCAGGACCACCTGGTCACCACCTCGAGGAGGAGACAGCATACCCCCGCCAACAACATCCACCCATGCCCACCGACAAATAGAAATCTCGGAAAGATTACTTGCCTGCAACGTGGAACTTGAAACCACTAGCATTGAACCTTGTGTGTTCCACTGTGTTAAATTCTACCTTAAAAGGGGCTCTGAGCAAGGCATGATTTTGTTACACTCTTTTACTATTTGAAATGTGCTGGTTTGCTGAGTTTGCACATTTCGTACAATACTCAAAAGTCAAATGTGTTCGGACGACCGCTAGTCTCAGGAACGGCATGTGAGTGCTCTTGCACTCACTGGACTCAGTTGCTAAGGAATATTCCAGGTCCCTGGTTGGGCTGTTCCTTGGGAGCCTGTCTTACCTGCCAGATTGTGGCTGAGCATGGAGGAGGCACGTTTCCTGTTCGAATTTGTAGCCCCCCAAAAGAGTTTAATACGATTACTACCTGTGCCGCCATTTAAAAATAAGAACATAATCATTGTGCTGGGTGAGAAATAAAGGCCGTTTCCAGGGAATTCGGGAGCCACTCAGTGCCAAGCCTGCATCACCTCTTCTTCTGACCATTTCCTCCACTTTGTTCCAGGACATTCTCTGGGGGAAGGAAGGGGGCTCCAGGTGAGAATCCCCGAATGCCAGGCTCTTCTCTGCTTCTGCCAGTTGGGCGGTTTCAAATTGAAGCAAATTGAGTCTCGTACGTTCCATCATGTCTTCCATCATTTATTAGCACCTCCAGCTTTGGAGACACCCTCAGCTTGCTCTGACCTGCGCCTGGCTGGTCTCGTTGGGTTTGTAGAGTAGGGGGCAGAGTTTAACAGGGGCCCCAGTGGAGTGGTGTTGGGAAAAAAGACACTTGGGGAGCTGTAGGGTCTGAATGAGGGCCATGAGCCCTGGTCCCAGGTTGGGGGGGCGGGTGGGGATTATAACCCACCTTTCTGGCTTCAGGAGATCCTGGCAGAACCTGGCACTGTTAAGACCCGCCATCCTCTGTCAACTGCCTGCCTGTGGAAACCCTCTCCTCTGTGTGGACCCTCTATTATCTGTTCCTGAGACCCCTGGTGTAGTGCTCGCACAAAGCAGCAGAGATCACAGCCGGGCGGAGGCTGAGTCAGCCTGCTGGAGGCAGGCACCTGGAATTTGGCAGAGGGCCCAAGGAGGCCACACACTGGCCAATGTACTGGGCAGTTCTTCCTGCCATGCCCCTGCCAGGAGGAGGCCCAGGTCCGGAGCATCTGAGCTCAGGGAACCTGGCCGAGTCCTTGTGAAACGGTTCGTTTCCCCATAACTAGCATTTGTTGTCGGGCTGCTGGGCCAGCAGGGAGAAACGCCACCTCATTTCTCTCCGCCGAGTACCTCCTCTGGTAGGAGAACGAGCACACTGTAAGATGAGCGGAAGAGACTGTGCTCCCCCTGGGGGTAGCCCAAGGTCCAAACAGGCCCTTCTACCAGCAAAGACGTGGATATTGTGTGGCTGGAGCTTGGAGGGGAGGGGGTTTGGGGTTTGGTGATGGAGCCTGACTTCTCACCTTCCCCTCCCTGTCCTCAGATTTTCTTTCACTCTCTGTCTCTGTAACCCTAATCCCTTCTCTTGCAGAGATTTGTTCCAAAGAGGTGCTGGTGGAGGGTGTTACTCTGTGAAAAGGAAGGGAAGAGGGGGGAGCCCAAAGGAAGTAGTCAACCATGTTTCCCCTGGGCCGTGGCTCGTTAGTTATCCGTTGTTGAATAACAGTATTGCCAAACACTCAGCAGCTTAAAAAATACCTCCTTATCATCTCATGCACCTGTGGGTCAGGAATCCTGGCGCAGCTCAGCTGTTTCCTCTGGGAGCCTGCACTCAAGGTGCCTGTTCAGGCTGTGGTCGCATCTGAGGCTCGGCTGGGGAAGGGTCTTTTCCCCAGCACCAGCAGAGTGATTGTTGCAGCATTTGGCGTCCTGCAGTGTCTGGAGCAGCAACCCCCGCCCCCTGCTCCCCGCCCCATGCCTGCCAGTTACCCACAGGCAGCTTTCTCCGTTGGGAGACCCACAGCACAGCGTACAGTCCGGAGCACAGATGGGTCCAAACCGTTCTCGAGGGGATCATGCCAGTACCTGAGAACCAGGCCACAGGGCCACGTGAGAGTCAGCCCACCCCAGGTTTCATGGATGCTCAATTATTTGTGAAGTTGTTTGTGCGTGTGTGTGTTTGTACATATGTGCATGCTATATACACACACACAATGTTTCTAAACCTATGTTTTATAATTAAAATTTTTTAACTGAAGCAGTGCTTTTGGAAAAGTTACTTTGGATCTGTGCCCAGGTTCTGCCAAGCAAAAAGAATCTCAGTGCCTTAGGCAGTCATGTCTGAAATGAAATCTGGAAGTGACTCAGAAGGGTGACTTTTTATTTCTGAGCTATATGATGTCGCCGTGAATCAGACGGCTCCCCGTACGACGACCTTGGGGTTTTTAATTGCTTAGAAATGACTTCACAGCCTAATTTTGATTTGAAAGAAGAAAGAAATCATTTTAGCCTATAACTAATTTGCAAATAATGGACATTCTTACTACCTCTACCAAGGGTTGAATCTGCTTTAATAAAGTTTGGCAGTTTTATTCATTTATGTATCAAAATTATTCCTAGGTATTTCATGGTTTTGTTCCTGTCGTAAAAAGACTCGTGTTTAAATATGATTTCTACTGACTTTTGCTAGTAACCAGGAATATGACTGATCCTGTCAAACTCCCATATTAATTCTAAGAATTCTTATTTCCTATTTTCTTAGGTTTCTTGGTGCACAATGGCGGCGTCTGGGAGGCAGCCATCTTCTGTTTCCTCCTTCCTAGTGAATTTATACACTGATTTGTTATGCCCTGGTTCCATGCCCTGATTTATGTCTCCAGAAGCAAGTCCCTTCAGAGTCAGCTAAAGCTCAGACTGTCAGCATCTACTTGGGCAAGTTGCTTAACCACTTCGTGCCTCAGTTTCCTCATTCATAACCTGGGGTCATCAGAGAATCGTCCTCATAAGGTCATTGTGAGGAACAGATCCAGTATCTGCTTTTAGCACAGAGTCTGTCTCAAAGTTCAGCACATCGTGGATTAAGCATAATTATTACTTAACAGGAACTGACATGAAAACATCGGGGAAGGGACACCCGGTTGTCAAAAACCAGCTGACCTGTGACCTTGCGTGTCTCCCACGCGCGGTGACTGCTGGGGGCTCGCCGAGCATCTCTTATGTCACCTGCAGCCCAGGGAGGGAGGAGGCTGTCCCAGCAGCCCGCCACTCACCGACGGGACGTGTGACTCCAGGTCAGCCTGCCTTGCGGCCAGACCTGGGCTCGTCTCTGCTGGTCAGCCCCAGGGAGGACCAGCCGTCCGCTCAGCCCAAGGGTCCTGGACCCGGCGCACACGGGGACAGCCAAGCGCCTTCACCAGCTCGTCAAGCCCAAGACCCACCTCCACCCAAGGGGCTAGGCTCCTCCAGG